TCATTTACAACTTTCCCTGCCAGCTTCCCCAGAAAGTCAGGGAGGTAACTGGCAGGGATGGTCACAAGTCTCCCCATTGGTGCACCCTCACCCAGCCCCTCTGCACTTGCTCCGACCATTCATGCACCCCTGTGCATTTTCCCCAAACCATACTGCACCCTATGCAATCTCCCCAATCCACATGGCATCTCTTGCCCTGTTGTAAAATGAGGGCTAATCTGTACGTTAATGGAATTTTCTGTTTTTCTATTATTTTTATACCCCATAGTTAATCATTTTATTGAAAAGGTTTTTTTTTAAAAAAAAAAAATCTGCTCACAAGGTATCAAGGGGCCAATGTTCAATTTTCTGTACATTGGCCAAGAAGCCCCTTAAATTACTGACTATTTGTCCCAGTCAGCTGTTGGAAGACCCTATTTCTGGTTGCAGTACCTTTTGGAAGGGCAGCAGATAATCTTACTTCTCTCAAGTTGAATAGATTTAATTGGATATCTGTAAGAATTTAAAAAGAAGCACCTAATCTTTTTACTGAAAGCTATATATGAATTCAGTATGAAGATGTGTTTTTTTCTGCTTTTTTAAAATCAGATTATATTACTACAGTACTCTGGTATGGTTAACATATTGAATGTTTGTAAAATCAATCACTTCTGCCTGCAAAGAACAAAGAGTTTTTCCAGAGATACAGAACTCTATGTTATTCGTATCCAACTCTGTATTATGAGCCGTGAGTTCCCTGCCTCACCCAAACATGCTATGAATGGATTCTTGCTCTCATGCTCTATGAGTTATCCCTTTCTGCCCAGAAGACATTAGTAGACACTCCACAAAGGCCATGTAATCTTCAGCAGCTGTACATGACACATTTTGCTGCAGTAATTATGCAGGGTGACAACTTGAACTCAGTCATCTGCTTTTATAAAACATATTGGATGCTTGATTCCCATGAAGTGCTTCATTCATTAGGCAGACTTGGTTAACTTGCTGATGTGATTTCTTGAATCTACCAACCCAAAATTGAATCATATCTCTGTGATTCATAGCAATCCAGATAAAAGGATCCTGTTGCTTATCTGCAACTGTTGATCTGTTCTGATTCTGCAACTGTTGATCTGTTCTGATTCTGCAACTGTTGATCTGTTCTGATCTGATTCTGGAGTACTGATCTGTGTATGTCATAACTCACTCTCTTCCAATTCGAGGTTGTTATATTAAAATACCTATTTTATTTTCCATCCTCTCCTTTTTTTTCCCCTTTGCCCCCTTTGCCCCTTTCTCCTCTGCCCCATTTAGCCAATATGACTGCAATTGGATATAATATAGGAGAAAGGTATGAGGTCCACCAAAAGTTTCTTATTCCTGGAATATCCTGGATCAGGCACTGCAAGATCCAGAAGATCTTGAAGATCTTTGTATATAGGATCTGCATATATTTAGAGGCAATCAATGAAAGTATTTCAGTTATAAGTAAGTTATAGTTCTTCTGAATTATAAAGCAAATTATCGTAAAATATAAGTATGTCTTCTTCATACATTAAAAGCTTTTGATAGCTTGAGTTCTCGTTTTGCAATTATAGTGAATTAGTTCACAAAATTTGCCCCATTATCTCAGCAAGACCAAAATTGAATTTTAAAAGGAATAATGAATTCTATAAATTTAAATCATAAATATCAAAAAGCAAGTCTTGCTTCTTTTATAATCATTGACAGCCCTTCAGTGTTCCAAAATTGGGATCAAGCAATATGAAAAACAGAATTTTTTTTTTAGAGTATTTCGGTTTCAGGGAGGTCTGTTAACAAACTATAAACATAAGCAGAGATTGATGCTTCTATAATGTATATTCTGCTGTATAGCATCTGTAAGAAGCTACTGGAAAAGAGCATCTGGAAATTCAAAGTATTTTACTCTCAATATGCTAACAACTCTCCACTTATATTGCCATCCTGGGTAAAATAAGCTTTTTATCCACCTTCAGCCAATGCATCATTTGTGACCCTTTCTGCACAAAGGGGATCTGGCTCCAGTAACTTAACACTTGAGCCTCTGCAGTCTGTTCCTGATAGAGCTGCCTCTAAATACCCCTTGGCAACTGCAGATGATCCAAAATGTAGCCCCATGCATGCTGACAGAGACTTGTCTGTTTGATCATTTTATATCTATGTTGCAAGACCTGCACTGGCTACCTGTGAGATTCCAGTTTCAAATCAAATACTGTCTATGGGATTGCCTGCTCCAACTTGAGTCAACCAGACTAAGGTAGTCCTCACAGGAAAGGCTGCTGATTGTCTCCCATTTTTTAACAAAGAAGTGTGCTGAAGCCAGAAAACTGCACTCTTCCAGAGGGCTTTTGCAACTGAATGTTCATAATCTTTTACTTTATAAAGTCTAATTATCTAATAGTTTTCTTTATCTGGTTTTCTTAGTAAATTAGATTAATAAATTATATTACATTATTATGCATTGATTTTAGGTTTAATATTGGATGTTATATAACTTTGTATCTCCTTTATTATTGTGAGCCATTGGATTAGACCGGACATGAATAATAATTGTTGTTTTATAATGGGCACATATTATTCAGTCAACATTATAGACAAAGGCTTAGAACATTTTTGATAGAACCATCACTGAAAACAGCAAAGTGAATTTAGCAGTTGGGAAATAAACTGTCAGATTTTCTTATAGATTAGCAATTAAGAACAAGAAAAAGCAAGCAGAAATAATCTTTACAATGGAAAGAGATAAATAGTAGTGTGAGTGCAAAATATATCAAGAGTATTGGATATCTTAAGAAAGTATACAAGTAATGCTTACAGGGCTGCATTTCAACCTCATTGTAGAATTGAGAAAAATATAGAAGGGGACAACTAAAATGGCCATAATATTCTAACATTTTCCTGATAAAGAAAGCAGAATATATTAGGGCTATTACATTTAGGAAAAAAAGAAAAAGATACAGAGCAAAATAGAGAAGTGAATTTTTTTGACAGCGGATTGAGAAAAGATAAAAAAGTATAATACAAACCAGATCTATTTTGTAGAATTACGCGGCTTTGAGAAATTTATGGAAGGTAGAGTTGTCAATCAATATTAGCCATGATAGTTAAATGGAACCTCTTGGTATAGTGGTAGTATTTCTCCAGATCTCAGTTACAGGGGGACAAACAGCAATTCATGCTCTGCTTCAGGCATCCCTGAAGCCCATTTTCAATATACAATTGGTCATGCTTTAACCAGACTTTCAGAATCCTTGATTTAAAGGTTCTTCTCTTGCTCATTTGACTGGCAACATAAATCCTGATATTTCTTTGTCTTTTCCCTCCTTGGTGGGAAAAATTTGAAGGGAATTTATGAGGGCATTTGACTCTGGGAAACATAGAAACATCTCTGAAGCAGCTGTCAAACCCTGTAAGCCTCCAAACGTGTGGCTTCTTAATGCTGGTTTAGGTCTGGAACTCGGACCTTTTGAGAACAGCCTTATAACGCAGAGGCTTCTCCATATGATTAAGCCAAATATGCAGTTTTGAATCTTTTTTCTCTCAGCCTAGAAAGATTGGGAAAAGAGGGATACTATACTTTGCTCCGTATTGTGTTTCTGTATTCAAGTATGTTGTTTGAATAGAGCTGTATATAAAACACTGTTCTAGAGATACCTAGTCCACGTAACTGAGACTTCGATAATCCATTTCTCAAGGAAAGCACCCCATGTGAACACATTTTATGGGATTTTTTTCAGCTTTGCAAAAACTAGGGTGTGTTGCAAGATCTTCATATAAAGGCAGAATTATGTTTCTGCATGACGAATCAGTTGAGTAATCATGGTAGGAGCTATTTGCACAATTTACCTGAGTTACGTTTTTACATTTCAAAAGTTCCATCGCAAATGCTATTTGATCTTCTCATAGTTACAGACTAGTTTTGAAAATGCATGAAACAGTAGTATCGGGTTGTTGTTTTTTTTTCATAATTACTTCAAATATTTTTTTTATGCATTGGAAAAATAAATTGGCTTTCTTTCCATGGTATTCTGTAGCTAAAAGGCCTTAAATATTCTCACCACATGCTGAGGAGTTTGAAAAAGAAAACCTGGAAAATGTGAAATAGCAGCTTGTGATATGATTTGCTACAAATGTCTCCTTTAATATGCTGATCAAATGTATGTAATGTCTATTTGTAATGTGATGTCACCACTGCAAGAGCAGTGCAGAAACTAAAGAGTTTTGAGACACATATAGTTAGCTATTGTTTTGTATACATTTCAGTAAAAGCCATGGTAGCTGGAGATTTCTGGAATAAGTCCACACATCTTAAAGTTGCCATGATTGAGAAACACTTATAGTGTAATAATATGAGCAAAAACATGAGGTCTTGTATTGCTGTACCTCTGCATTTATGTGCATTTTTTTAATCTGCCTTTTAAAGGAAGGGTAAAGATGCATCCAAACTTCCAGTAACTGCAGATTAATTCCTGAAATTTTGAACATGGTTTAAAGAAAAAAATCCTATGGACGCATTCAAATTAAGCATTCTCTTGCCTTCTCTCTCTCTCTCTCTCTCTCTCTCTCTCTCTCTCTCTCTCTCTCTCTCTCTCCCCCCCCCCACCTCCTCCTTTCCCTTTCCCTCTTCCTCTTCTTACTACCGATTCAATTATTTGGCTAGGGTTCATGTGTTAAAAAATGGGTACATCCATTACATTGCCTGCCTTCTCATATAAAATGATGTTTCTTTACAATTCTTAGATCCTTACCCTTTCTGAATTGACGTTTTATTTGGCACAGGAAATATTGATACAATATAGATGGATTCCATAATAATTGCAGGTATTACAGGAGGAAGCAAATAATTACCGGAGGAAATGAACTGACTTCCCAAGCCTTTGTGAATTACAGGATGAGCAACATGGAACAGTGCTCTGAGCACTAAAACGATCTGCTGCTAGGCAATTAAATGTTAACTTGGTGCATAAAAGAATAAAAATTATTGCCTCTCACTTTTGCAGATCTTACTTACAGAAGAGTTTGTGGAAAGAATGCTGGAAGACCTAGAAGATCTGAGTTCTCCAGAAGAAGTAAGTTTACTTAATCTTAATACCTAAAGAGACATTCTTTACAAAGGTAGTCTTCGGCTTATAGCAGTTCATTTACTGACTGAAGTTACAATGGCACTGAAAAAAGTGACGTATGACCATTTTTCACACGACTGTTGCAGCATCTCCATGATCACATGATCAAAATTCAGATGCTTGGCAGTCGACTCATATTTATGACAGTTGCAGTGTCCTGAGATCATGCGATCACCTTTTGCCGTCTTCTGACAAGCAGTCAATGGGGAAGCCAGATTCACTTAACAACCATGTTACTAACTTAACAGCTGCAGTGATTCACTGAACAACAGTGGCAAGAAAGGTCATAAAATGGGGGAAAAACTCACATAATGTCTCACTTGACAACATAAATTTACATTTACATGGTTGAGGACTACCAGCATATTTTTGCTTATATATGTAACTTAACGTAAGTTATTGTATAGATCAACATCAACATTTGGAATTCTTTGCTGAATGAACTTGAAGAATTAAGATGTTCCTTCAGTAGGGACCTTATGCTAAATTGACATTTCTCCATGTATTTTTTCTTGCCATGTATCCTCCTTTCCCTAACACATTTCCCCCTTTTTATGGTAATTTGTAAAACTTTAAATGTATTACTTTGATGCAGATTTCATTGCAATAATATTTATATACTATGATTAAAAATTATGAATATTCTGTTACTTAGAAAACTTAAAAGTGTTGAAATTGAGATATCATGTTTTCCCTAAAAGATCCAATACTTTGCTCAGAAGAAAGTGCTTCAACCCTTTTTATAGTTTTTGTTTTGCTTTTAGATTAATTGATTAATGCTTTTAGATTAATTGATTAATTGACATTTAATTTAACAGATTTTTCCCCATGGAACCATTTTAACTATCTATTTATGAACTATCAATCATCATACAACTCCCCTCTCAAGTTTTTTTTATAAAAACAGTGAATAAAAACAGTATCGACATCATAGCTATTCATAGACATACTGTAATGGGATTGGAGAGAGAGAGTATTTTTCTATGATCTCCTTGCACAAATGTTTTCTTTGCCATCTCACTTGTTACCTTCTCACTGTTTAGTTCCTGAGGGTTCCTTATCTTCCAAAGCTGCATAATGTTTGTTAAAATTGCAGGATCATGAAATCTTGTTGTAAATTCTTGATTGGACACACAAGGCATTTGTCTCCAGTGCATAAGCTGTCAAACAACAAAGATCATATATAAACCCTGGTTTGAAAATCCTCATTTGCTTATTAATCTGATACCTTTTCATTTGCTCCTGTGTTATACAATGATATAAAATATATTGAAAATTTGAAAAAAGTACATTTTCTCACATGAAATATTGTTTATGCAACTTTGGTTTCTCAATATTCACTTCTGTTACTATCAGTAGCTTCTGCTTCTTCTATTCTTAATTTTGTTATTTTCATGATCTTCTAAAAACTGAGACTTTTTTTGTATTGAAAGAAGCCTCTTTTCATATTGATGTATTTCTTCATTTATTATCTATTTCCATATGTAGACACCAGTTTCTTTTAATTAACTATTTTATACATCACTTCAGAAGATATCACTTTTTTATATAATTCTACAGAGAAATTATAAAATACTATCTTCAAATTTTGTTTTTCTTCTCGGGCCTTCAAATTGTACTTTTATTCACCCTGGATTCTAGCAATTTCTATAAGTACTAACTGATTTCTTTGTTTTTTAGTTCAAGCTTCCAAAGGAATATAGTTGGCCTGAAAAGAAACTAAAAGTCTCCATCTTACCTGATGCTGTATTTGACAACCTACTCCATTAAAGACAGCTGACGCCCACAAGTAGCAGCTTACTGTTTATTGCCCAAGGACTAATGGGAGCATTGAGTAGAGTAAAAGTTGGTCCTGACAATGTTGCTGCATAACTACAGCAGAAGAGAGGTTACTCAACAACAGTTCAGCCAGAAATGCTCATGTCTGGTTTTTTTTCTTTTTCATCATGGCTGAACTCTCAGTATCTGCGTATGAATGAGTACAAGAATTAGACAGAGGAAGAAATATTCCATTATGAGTAGCAGCTGTAATACATCTTCCACTATTTTAACTGGCTCTAGAACTGCCTGCTGCCACCTTAGTTCAGGGTTTATATTCCTCATCTGCATTTATTGTACACATTTTTCACCTGTAAGCACATAAGCACATGTTCTCCATAATGCCAAATTTCTTTTGTTAACCAGGCTTCTCCTTGGCAGAATTATTCCTTTAATGCAAGTTGCAATTCCAAAAAGAAAGTAGGATTCTCTACATGTATTGAGAGTAAATAGAGTAAAAATTACTCTATTATCTTGGCTCCAAGCATTTCTTGTGGTTCAGCTGCAGTGAAGTTGGGTGGGTGGGTTTGGTTTTTTAGCTCAGATTAGTTGAGTGTAGCTGAATTTTAGAACCCAAATTTTGAGCCCTATAATGAAATGAGCCTTTCATTTGCTTTTCTGTAAAGAATGGATAATTCACTAGTAAGATAACATCCAAAACCAGTTTAATGATAATAATATCAGCAACAACTTCCAAATTGAGCCTGTGAATATTAACAGATTTAGAAAGAAACCTAGCTGTAATTCAGTTGGACTTATTTCTAAAAAAATGTATGTTAAATTATAAGTTTTTATATATTACTTTGAGAATGTTTGGAGACAATAAGCCCCCCCGACCCTTTTAGACACTTTAATTGATAAGATAACCCTAAATTATTGGATTATAAAGCATATTAAATAATCACTCATTTCTTTTACTGATGACCAAGCAAGAAATATGAGTGATTAATTTTATATGCTTTTCTCATTGTACTCACTGAGCTATAAAATGAGTTAATGGCTTGTCTTATTTGTATTAGCACTGTTAGCACTTCTGTTTTTATGAAAATTCCTGATGCTGCACTCTTTCTGAAAAATTTCCACCAACTCTCTTTGTTTCAGGTCCTAGAGGTGCCCAAGAGCCTGTTATCTTATATCAGCTTTGGAACAAAGCAGTCTATAAAACATTTAAGTTTTGTTAAAACCATCTTCTCACTTTTTATTAATGTAATAGAAAGCTCTGATGAGCATTGATTGAATCAGGCCTCTCCAGAAATTGTAATTCATATAGAAGTATAAATTATTTTTGAACTATGTGAAAATATGTACTTTTTACAACAGGGGTCCCCAACCCTTGGGCTCGACCCACCACTGGGCCATGGCCTATTCTGAATTGAGCTATGCAAGTGGCTGGCCGGAGCGTGTGCATGTATGCACAACAACCTACGTGAATAGCAGGCTGGCGGGCACTCACCCATATGTGCACCAGCCCGCTGCTCAAGCAAGTCAACCTGCGTGCCAGCCCGCCACTTGCGCAAAGCCTGTGTGTGCACACAAAGTCGCCCCAAGCCGCAAAGGTTGGGGACTGCTGTTTTACAATCTACAAATTTTCAGTGGTCTTCATCTGTAACTCAAAGGATAGGTTAGACTCGCATCGGACAAAAAAGGGAAAACTTTTTTACGCAATGACATTTTGGGAAAAGAGAAAGAAATACACATTAAACATGAGATAGTCTTTATGCATTGTGAAGTACTGTATTGTTAACAGACTTTTTGAATACTGTGATGTATTAACCTGTTCTGATATTAGAGATCATAAAGCAAGAAGGCTTTGGAATCTGTAACATAAGTGAGAGTCTTTTGGAGAGCCTAGTTCCGTGATGATGAACCTGTGGCACGCGTGCCACAGGTGGCACATGGAGCCATATCGGTTGGCACGCAAGCTCAGTTCCGGTGTGCATGCATGCGCCAGCCAGCTGATTTTCGGGCCTTTTGGGCCCACTGGAAGTCAGGAAACAGACTGTTTCTGGCCTCTGGAGGACCTCCAGGGGGTGAGAAAGGCCTTTTCTGCCCTCCCCAGACTCCTAGAAAGGCTCTGGAGCCTGGGGAGAGCGAAAAACGGGCCTACTGGGCCCACTGTGCCATCACGTGCCAAAAGCGGGATGAGCGGGCACATGCACAGGGGGGTAGGCGGCATAGAATTATGGGTGTGGCCACGTGCGCATGCGATCCCCCCCCCCCGCGCGCTTTTGGCATGCGATGGCAAAGAGGTTAGCCATCACTGGCCTAGTTCATACTTTGTTTTGAGTAGATATTTAAATAAAATTAACAGTGTTAAATTAATAATAGAATATTGCAAAGATGTGCAGAGCTAACCGTAAGATTCTCTGGAGGAAATGCACATGGGTGGTGTTCACATATACTGTGCAACCAAGATCATTAACCATTATTTGTTGAACAAGCCAGAATCAATTTTCTGGGACAGCAGAGTGATTGTGACTTTGATCAGTTTCTTATTTTCACTCCATTTCTTCTATCATTCAGGTGATATTTCATAGTATTCTTAACAAAAGTTAAAAGAACAAGGTTTGTTTGTTTGTTTGTTTGTTTGTAGGAAGATTTGTTCTATAATTTGCTCTCTAATTAAGCAAGTTAATTAGAGGGCCAAGGGCCAAGTGTGGTGCCCAGATCTTCTTTTGATAGCCCTCAGATCTTCATCCAACTGTACTGCAAATGTTGGCACTACAAATGATGAAAATTGCTAGCCTGGTTTCCCACCATTTTATGACAAAATATTCATTAAAACTAGTATATGGTCTGTAACACACAATGCATTTTTTTTAAAAAAAACAAATCCCCTGCAAAATCAAGAAAATTCTACTTCCGCTCATTTATCTGAGAGCCCCATCCACTCCTTTGTACCCTAGGAAATATGTATAACTTCCATCCTCAAAAAGGATAGTCCTGAGAATTTTGTGATTATTGTTATTTTGGCTTTGTAAGATTGATGGAATTGGCGTTGTTTACTTTTTTGTTGTTGGCGGTTTTGTTAAATGTACACTATATTGGGTTTTTAAAAAAGAATTCGTAGAATTTAGAGAGCAATTCTGTTTTGTGTAGGTTTGGTTTCGCCTGTGTCTGTTATCTGAGTATGGTTAGTTTTATTTCTATGAAATGGGTATTTTGTTGAAATGTGTATGCTTTGCTTTGGCATTGGGAAGCAATTCCCTATCTTTTCAGGGAGGAGTTAGGCATGGGGGAAAATAGCCTGAGTGACAGAAATGCTGTGTAGTTTTTCCCACAACTGTACTTTTATTTAGTTTCTGAAGGAACTGAAGTGGGAAGCCTATTCCTTAATTTTTATGCTTCAAACTGTAATTGGATCTAACATCATTGAAATGCTTTTATATGGAAAGAAAAGTGATCCCTGCTGGTAGAAACAGATATGCTAGAGAAATGACTAAGCTAGAGAGAGCCTCTCCTACAAGATCTAATTTATTACATATAAATATTGTGTGTGTGTGTGTGTGCGCACACACACATTTTAATTTTAAAAGGACCAGCTGACCTGGAGAAATGTTCCAACTAATTCAGTATCTTGTTTTTTCACAGATGCCTCTGAGAATCTCATAGGTCAAGCTATAGCAATAGCATCCTCTTCACTTCTCAGGACCTAATACTGAGAGACATAGTTAAGATGATAAATAATTGTTTTGATCGTTGTCATTCTGTCGTGGGCTCTCGGGAATTATTTCCTCCAACTAAATTAGTTTATGTATATAGTTTATTTGGAAATATATTCATTACTGTAATGGGAAAGTATTAGTTACAACTGCCTCATTGATTTCTCTCTCTCTAGTTAACCCTCAGTTTGTTCTCTTTAAAGTTGAATAAAAGGAGGCAGAGTCAGTATACTGTGAAATGCTAAACTGGAATTTAAAAACCGTTGTGAATTTCTCATGAAGGATCTACAAGTTAGAGCTAAATAGTGTCTCATAGGATTTTCTGCAAGATCCTAGTGTTTTCAGTGTTATGTCCTGCATGAGTATTCATTTTGGAGGGCAGAACTGACCCAAAATATATATTTTTAAATGACTTGTCTCTTTGGATTTCCAGAGAGAGAGCATTCAGGTTTTTTTTATCTACTTGAATGCAACCACAAGTTACTGGCTTGGCAAATCAAAGGTATGGTGCTTTTATGTATTTTTGTTTAATCAATAACAATTTATGACTGTTCTAGTTAGTTCCCTAAGGGACAACATAATAGAACAGGGTTTGGTCTCTCCTCCAATTCTTCATGAGCAGAAACTCACACTGTGGCTAGTTAGGCTGGCTTTTTATTTTTTCTCAACATAAGGTAAGAAGAGTTTGCTTTGCACTCTTGTTCTTTGCTTGCTAGTTCCTGAAGTGTTTTACCGGAAATAGAAGCTTTGGCTGCTCTTCAGTTGGTTTGCACCTGCTACTTAATCCCTTCAGCACCTGGAGCAGTAAACACCCTTCCTGGCTTGCCGCAACAATTATTAACTTTTAGTGCAGCTGTTGCACTAGTCATATGCCAGGATAATGCTAACAGAGCCACCAGACCATTCCAGAGTGTTTAACTATCTAACTATGAAAAAATATCTGTAAGTTAGTTATCATACAAGCTGTAAGTAGAATAGAGATTTGAAGCTATTGTACATGTTGCAAGTTCTGGCCTATCGCCTGTTTTGCTCTGAATCCCACAAAAGCACTAAAGATTTTTGTAATGCAAAAAAAGTAAAAGGTTCAAAATAAACAGTTGGATTGTATTTAAAAATAAATCATTTAAATATACAATCCTATCACAAATAACGTTTTAAACGCATTTAAAATCGACGATAAGCTACTTGAAATATGGTAGAAGAGCAAAAAGGAAGAAAGTCATTGTTTGTTGCAGAATCAGGTATAAAAAAAGAGAAGCTGGGCTCACCCTGAAGAAGACAAAAGAAATAAACATTTGCATGGCTATTACATTAAATCCTACATCTGTAGTCTTCATAATATCTCCTTAGATTTTATATAAATGTGTACATCTTGATTTCATGTTTCCCTTTTGTTAGATGGTGGTTGGGCAAAAAAGTAAGATACAAACCTTTGAAGTCTCTGCAGGATATTTTGCATTTCAGTCTGATGATCAGTGCAGAATTAGAAGTGAAAGCAACTTCTACGGCAGATTTAAAAAGGATTGCACTGTCATTCCATTACATTCTCTTTTTCCAGTAGTAGGGACACAATCACAACATGCTTTATATGACCCCCTTTTGCATATGACCCCTATACATAAGGGAAGTAAGGGATTAGAGAACTATTCTATTTACATAAGCATTTTAATGGTTTGAGACAAAAATATTTAATACTGTTCCCGATGAGTACCATCCTTGCAGTTTTTAGGAAAAGAAATGATGCCTTCCATCTTTGGTAGCCCTGTGGCATTTCATTTCCACTTAACCTGTATGTCCTTTTCTGCTAGACATCTTGAATGTCAAAATTAGTACTGTCTGATATAAATTTATAAGGACCCCAGACTGACCCATTCCTTAATTAACTTGTCATTATTATGTTTCATATGTATTTCTTTTTCCTTTTTCAAATTGCTTACATACAATCATAGTAAGAGCTTTTAAGCTTTCTACTGTTTTTCCCAAAACATGTTTCTTATTTTTAGCCAATCAGTTTCCTATATTGCAAATATTTTGAAAGAAACCCTCATTTAGAGAGTTACGATATACTGGTAGTGAGTTCCAGATGAGATGAGGGAATCATATGTTTAAACTCTTCAATTATATTTTCTTTTCAGACATTGTTTTAAGGCTTTGTTGCCAACTAATTGTTGTGGCATCCTCCCTAGTCCTTATTTTCCTTTTCAGGGCAAAATTACAGATTTCTTCTGTTACACTCTTATGATATAAATCTTCAATGAACAGAAGAAAGTGATTCTATGATCTGTGTTCAGAGTATATACCATAATATGGGCACTGTGTTTAATACAAATGGCTGTTGTGGGCCCTGGGTTGATAAGAAGATGCAGGAGCATGCAAGTTTCTTGCTGGATCTTTTAATTCCAGGTTAAGATGAACTAGCTTTCTTTCCAGTTTTACTTTCAAGGATGAACCCCACCCCCCAAACTTACCTTAGAGAAAGAAAAACCTATTTAAATAATTTTAAAATGTATGAAAAGGTTCAAAAATTTAACAGTACTTTATGAACAATGCTGCCCATGACTTAGCTTTTCTGGAGCTGTATTTAACAATAGCAAAGACCCATGGTGTGTGTCTGCGTGTGCGTTTGTGAACATGTATGCAAATACATGCACAGTTTAATCTAGTTTAAGGACATAAAATTGGTATTCAGTAGTAGCAATTCTGAATTGTACTGCAGCTGAAAACAGCACATGAGAGTTAAAAGTTTGAATTGAGGTAGCATCACACTTCAAATGAAAAGAAGTATTTTTCCTTTTTTGAATGGTTTTATCTCAATAGGAACTAAAGTTCTCTATTCAGCAGAGGGCTTGCTAATTTTTTTTTCTTTTTGAAGGGAGAAGAACTCTTGTGGGGTGTTAGTTTTATACTTCAGATGGCTGTACTGTAGTTCTAGGAAGCTTTAAACAAATTGAAATATACTTTTGGAGAAATTAATCCTTAGACTTGTTCAGATGCTAATTCTGACTGCTGAGGCTGTTTTGAAAAGCTTCAGCTGAGATGAACCTTTTTGTAGTTCATCTGTGTGTGAGTGTGTGCATATGTGTGGGGGGGAGCACGTATGTGTGTGTGTGTGTTCATTTCTCTACAAATATATTTAGAGTTACTGCAGAAACTGACTGAAAACAGTTTACTTCTCCTGCAGTAATATTTCAATATTTTAGTATACCCTTTTTCTACCAAAAAAAAAAAAAGCAATGAAAACCTAAACTAGCAGTTTTTAAAATATTTTATATTAGTTTGTAATGTATATTCTTACATTATCACAGTGCTGGTATGAACTACTTTTTTGTAATATTTTTGTGAATCACAAAGCTTTTGTTTCCCTTCTGTGTATTCAAAGTACATTAAACCTGTTTGCATATTGTGTTCGGTGTGTATTTATTGATTGCAGAGCTGATAAATTAGATTTTATTTTTCACTCATACTTAATTTTCTTTTTCCAACTGTTATCTGCAGGTTGTAACCAGATAATAGGCAATATATAATATGAGGGCCAACCACCAGCATCTCCTTATCCACAATCTCTGTTGCAATTATCTGTTGTTGTTCTGAACTGTACAGTCTACTTCAGGAGAAACATTTGAGTAAATGTGGATGTATGCTAATTTTTATAATATGATGTGGAAATCATTAACACAAGTGCGGGAACCTTACTGCATCTATAGCAACTAACTTCAGCCTAGTAACCTCTAGATGTGTTCGGACTAAAACTCATATAAAATTCTGGAAATAACAGAGTTCTTTTCTAATTTTATTTTTATATCATTTTTCCTTAGCTATTGAAGAAGGATAAAGTTAAAATGATCACATGATCCTATGTATCATATTGAAGTACTCAGAAAACACTTTACTGTTGTCAAAAAAGGAAGGGGACTTTTTTTTAGAAAGCTGCAACTGAAATGGGGGGACTTCATAGAGACTATAAGTGCTCACCGATTTTTGGTCACCTCCTATCTATGTGTTCTAAAGAAAGCATAACTCCCACTTAATTACTATCTTGAATAAATATAATTTGATAGTTGGATTGTGCCATTAATTTGGTTTGGATGCTGTGCTCTCAGTCTGGATATTCAAGTTTTGCAACAGTGAAAACTAGTGAGAGAAAATACATACATCACTTGGGATTTTGGGGGGTGGGGGGAATCAATTTTGTTTCATAGTTTCACCACTCCATTGGATCGTGCATATGACTTAGGATCCATATGATATTGAGCCACACTTTGGAGCACTGACTCAGCTTCATTGATCTCTTGATTTACTGTGCTTTGTGGCATAGGCCCTGTGGCTTGTTGCAAAAAGTCACTTTATTATCCTGTTCTTCTCAATTGAGAAATTACCGAGTCTCCTATACGGCTACATCTCATTTGGAATTCTTGCTGTAATGGAGTGATACACCTTGTCCACCCAGTGAGGCATATCTTCTAGACCACTGGAGTGCTTATACTATCAATATATATCCGATTTTTAGAAATTAATGTTTTTCCACAAAATTTTTAAAGAGAATAAAAAGTGTGTGGCAAATTTTGATTCTGTAATTCATAGTGCTGTGCATTTCAGGGATGAAATGAATTTGTGTAGAGACCTGGGGAATCGTTCTTTCTTCAATAACTTTGAGAGCTTTTGTTGCATTACTACCATATCAACAGATGACAGGAACAGTATGAAATACTCTATGTGAGCCATTGTGTTTACACATACGTATGTATGTTCCTGTAACTGATTAAGAAAGTTCTGAGAAACTAAAAATACTCATACTTTAAATCAGTGATTTTCAACCTTTAAAGAAGAAATCTTTTTGCTGGTGGCTGCCTAAACTCAAGCATTATCTGGTACATTTGTTTTATTTTCCACTAGTATTGTTACCTCAAAAATACACTATAGTGATGAGTTGGATTACTAAATAACATGGCATGTATAAGGACTAAAGTTAAGCTTAGGCAAAGTGTTTATTTTCAGATGACATCTTGTTTGCAATTAAAACTTCAATAAAAGATATCGCAAATAAATCATTTTCAGCCTTCAACTGCTTGAGTACCGTATTTATTACTGGTATATTTCCAATTTTAAATTATATTGAAACAATTGAACAAACAAGCTTTCTGGTATTTAACTTTTCTTTTGTTACTTACTGCGGTATTTTGGCTTGATGAGATTTTCACAGCTGTTTCACAAGCACTCTTAATTTCTCTCAGCAATGTTTACATCCCATTTTTCCAGTTTTTGCTTGTGAGTGCAGAAAATCCCAATTCACACTGGTAATAGGTTAAAAATGTTTCTTATCAGACTTCCTTTTCCTGCAATCGAAGTGTGTATTCATTCTTTGCCTACATCCAAAATTCAAGAAACACCTTCCATGAGGTTTAATTTCAAATTGCAGCTCTTCTGACATACACTAATTCCTCCCATTCGGTGAGACTAAGCTGAAATTGGTTTGATGTTTCAATAAAATGGTTTCTCAGCTAGTCACAGTTTTCAAAAGTAGACTGAAAAATATAATTTTATTTTCCAGCTTGTTCAGCAATTACTGGTATGACCTCATTTTGTTTGCTGCAGTAATATTGGGAAATATGCCCATATTTGTCTCTTTCACTTTTCCAGTCTAAAATTTTTACCATTATTACTTTGATCTATAGTCATTGTCTTATTTAAATATTCAACAGTAGCTACCAAGAAAAATAGCTTTGCAGACTGAAAATACAAACTCCTGGCTGCTGAAGAATAAAGGTGGTAATATGCATCATGTTCTTCAATTACATCATAGTTTCTCATAAGCTAACCAAAGTTGGGATGGAGGGAAAAGTATGCAATTTGTTCCAATTTCTTCACAAAATTTGGGAAACGTAATTAGTGACCCTCCATTTTCATGACTGTGTCTACCCCTGTTTTCAACTTGTAGCCAATTGTTTTTGCAGCTAATGCTTCATGATACTGAAGAAAACTTATTGTTATAACATTACTGTTTATGTTTCCCATTAACATAAATTCTTTTACTGACTCACCTATTAAAAGAGCAGCAGGCTAACAAATTCCTATGTGCACAGGATTTCTAGGGCAACGCAACAGATTCCAAGTAGCTAAGATAAGACAATTACCCTCGCTTTGAGTTTTTCCATCAAATTCTTTACCACATAAGCATTGTTCTATTTTACAATCATCAACATGGCAAATGATTGACAGTAATTGAACTGCATCCATTTCTTTCTCTTTCTAAATTGAGGTATAAACAGTTTCTTCAGTGTTGGCTAACATACTGTCCATGAGAGGAATTTCCTTTAATTTTTTGTTCTGCTTCATTCCAAATCTTGACTTTCCAATGGCAGTACAAGCAGGAAAAATCAGTATGTCTATAATTGTGTAAGGATCCATAGTTAAGAGAATAAATTGTGTGATTAAATAATTTTTCTTAGGCTTTACCTGGAAACTATTTTAGCAAAATTCAAACTTGATTGCTTTTTCGAATTTAAAAATCTCCCATAATACCATCAAATGTTTCTCAATAGCAGTGTCATTTTAGTTAGGAATGTCTCTGGCTGAGAAGAAACTATTATTTTTAGTTTTCTTGTTTATTATGGCACCTTTCCCCCCCCCCCCATTTATATTCCATAATTGTTACTTTGTTCCCACCACTGTAATCTTTATATTTTCTTACTGACTACCCATTAACATTTTAACACATCCCTGGTATCTTTGGGCATCACTGTCACTTCCTTATTAACCAGTCAAACTAAGCTATATACTTGCATTTGTTACTTAGGGTTTATTCACAGGGGGAACAGCTTTCAAACGGTAACATTTTAAACTGAGGCTTAGTTGTTAGTTGACTCACCTTCGGGCTCTTGAAGCACATTAACCCAGATTTCAACAATACTTGTCTCAGTCAAGACATCACTTACACAAGAATGAATCGTTATTCACAAAACAGAATCACGTCTACTATAATAGTACATTCATTCATTAATAATTTAAAGTTCGTTGTAAAACTTTTCTGGTCCTGTCATGGGCTTTTTAAAAAAAACTCTAGCCAATTTGATCGACTCAAGCTCAAAAGATCCCTGGACCCTAGACAATAGGATTTTTATATCTATTTATAAGGGTTGGGGAAAAGTTTTATTCTGAAAAAAAGTATCCAAAATACAAAAGTGAAATATGTTTGTGTGTGTTCTTTCCAAATCTTATGCTACACTCTATTTCTATTAATACTATTCAGTGTTTCTATGTTAATGTTCTACTATTAATACACCTTACTCTGTAACCTGTATTTCTATGCTATATTATACTATTCTCTAAGTATACTATTACTATTGCTATTATGCTAGTATTATTACTAGTAAAATACAGTGTTTTAACTCCTGCGATCCTGGTTCATCCTTAAATTCCATCCGCACTCCCATTCTCTCAGATTTTCTTCTGTTGCTATTTTCTTCTTTAATGTTCTGTTAATGGCCAGCAGGTAAAGCATTGGCACTTTCCCAATGCCATACTTTGCCCTTCTTTTCTTCCTGACCCTTCCATCTCTGTAAAGCAAACTTATTTGATGCTTTCTCTTTGGTTGCTGCAGTTGCTGCTGCTGAGTTTCCAAAACATGCTCATTTCCTCTGTTTTCCTCTTTTGTCTCTTCCCTTCTCTTCCTTTGCTGTTTCAAGGTTGCAGTTCTTACAAGCAATTCTGCCATGCTGACACTGGGAAGAAGGTTCAAATAGGAGGGGAGAAAAGCGGCACAGATGCCTGCCATGTTCTTAGCAGCCTGCTCTTCCACAATCCCCTAGACTGACTATGTGGCATCCAAGATGCCACAGCAGTCTGGGTAAGTATCACAGCTTTAAATGAAAATTAGTCAACAGGCTCATATTTTCTGTGGATTTGGGTGTTGACACATTCATACAATACTGAATGTGTTTCAATTCTGCATGATCACAATAATGTTGTAATATCTGTTGGATCAGACCTCCTGCATTTTGGGGTAGCAGGTTATGAGCCTAATTGTTGAATCCTGAGAAATGGCCAGGTAGAAAACCTGAAGTTTTGAACAAGGAGAAGTGAACACTCCAGATGCCTACAAATTTTTTTGCTTATAGAGACCATAGAACTTGTCTCTATACTTAACATTGATCTGAATCTTCCCCCAAAATCCTGGGAATAGTCTTAGGCAAATACATTGGATCAGGTTGTTATGCCTTCTCTTGGAGAAATGCCTCTATAGTTGTTTCTTTCATATTCATTTTTTCTAGGTTTTTTTTTAAACTCTAAACACTTGCATTGTTTCATTTTTATAACTCTTAAAAATAAACCAAATGAATGTTGAACCATTTCAGTGTTTGCCCACATTTTATGATCTAACTGTATTTCACTGCAGAATTTAGGTGCTA